GCTGTCCGTGTAGGGAAGAAGCAGCTGAATAAGATTTGACCTCGTTGTCGTTTTTTTCTTTTTCTTTTTCTAGGTACAGTCTACCTCACTTCTGGTTATTAGAAACTGTGCTTTATTAGGTCTATCTGTAGGCAGTTGATTACAAGTACAGTCTCTGGGAACTTGATTCTGTGTATTTTATGTGGGAACCTGATTTCAAGTACTTTTTGTAGGAGCTCGATTTCAAGTACCGTGTGTAGGAGCTTGATTTCAAGTGCTGTTTTTGGGAACTTGATTTTATGTACTCTTTGTGGGAAGTTCATTCCAGCTACCGTCAGTGGGAATTTGATTCTAAGTACCGCCAGTGGGAACTTGGATTAAAGTACTGTTTGTGTGAACTTGATTTCAAGTACCGCTTGTGTGAACTTGATTTCAAGTACTGTCTGTTCAAACTTGATTGCAAGTACCGTCAGTGGGAACATGATTCCAAGTATTGTTTGAGAAAATTTGATTTCAGTTACTGTCTGTGAAAATTTGATTCCATGTACCTTTCCTGGGAACTTGGTTTCCAATACTGTCTGTTGTGTCTGTTGAAACTTGATTCCAATCACTGCCTCTTAGAATGAGATTCTAGTTCCTGTCTGTGCGAATGTAACAGTTAGTACTGTCTCTGAAAACGTGACTATGAATTCACCGGTAGGAACGTGACCTCAGTTGTGCGAATGTAACAGTTAGTACTGTCTCTGAAAACGTGACTCTGAGTTCACCGGTAGGAACGTGACCTCAGTTCTGCCCCTGGCAGCGTAACCTCATTTATTGTCTAGTGGAACCTGGAAATGTATCACATAGATACCTGTGGTAAAGGGATAACCCTGTCTGTTGTAGCCGAAGTGCATACTCATAATCTAACATCTAAGTTCAGTTGATTCTGTCATGGCAACCTTCCTGAACAAACAAAAAACACACAGTTACGCATGTTCTGTTGAAACTTGGTAATAATTCTAGTGAAACACAATAATATGCTGGTAGCTCGCAATAATTCTCGTCTGTCCCATTCACAGAATCAGATGCAAGATAAATTAGATATACTTGATGCGAGATCACAGCAGCTTGGTCTGAAAATCCATAAAAGAAAGACACAGATAATGAGAATAAATCAGACAAATAGTAATTTAGTTTCTCTCAACAGCACCCACTCCAAGACGTGGAGTCGTACATTTATTTGGGCAGTAATGTAGATAGAGATGGAGGACCTGATAGAGATATTAAAATAGGAGTACAAAAGTCAAGAGGAGCTTTTATAGCATTAGGGAATTTGTAGAGGTAAAAAAAAAAAAAAAACGAAATACTAAACTTAAAATGTTTAATCCTAATGTCAAATCATTACTTTTGTATGGAGCGGAAACATGGAGAAAAACTAAGGCAGTTACTAATAAACTACAAACATTCGTTAAATGGTGCCTGCGCAGAATAGACGAAATTAAAAGGAAGGCTAGAATGACTGATGTAGAGCTTTGGGGGAGAACTAAGCAAGCTCCAGCGGACCAAAAGGTAAAGAAAAGACGCCAGCGTGGGATAGGATACACATTTAGAAAATCGGAGAACATTATAACTAGAATGTCTTTGCACTGGAACCCACATGGACACAGGAATAAAGGAAGGGCAAAAACACATGGAGCTGGAGAATGAAGTTAGAAAGATGGGGAGAGCTGCATGCGATAGCACAAGATCAAATGACTTGGCGTGAGTTGGTTGAGCGCCTATGCTCCACTGGGGGCTAGAAAGGCAGAAGAAGAAGAAGCTCGCTATACGTCCACTTTCTAACTTGGTATATGCCTTCTTTAGACGCGACAGAATATGACTTGCTATACGACGTTTGTTTTGACGTTTTATTGGAATGGAACTCTCTTTCGGGACAATAGCATCTCCTATTTTCCCAGCGCCAGCCTAGTGGGCACTCGACTTTTCTTAGCAAAGTAGGGTGTAGTTACATTTTAATTATTTCATCCAATGGTTTTTCTATTTTCATATTTTATTATTAAACAGTGTTCAAATTATTTTATACAATCCTATAACGATAAAATATGCCAATAACAATACGATTTTTTTTTTCATGGAGACAATTATTTGTTCCTTCTTCATTTGTTATGGGTAAAATGCGTTTGCTTTTTTCGTTATAAGTCCAGTGATCTGTAATGGATTAAAGAAGTGTACTGAGGTGCTGCTGAAACTCAATAACATCGATTCTTCAACACCTTGAGAAAACCGGAGAACAATATAACTAGAATGTCTTTGCATTGAAACCCACAGGTACATGGGAATAATGGAAGGCACACAAAAAAAAAAAACATGGAGAAGGGAGCTGGAGAATGAAGATAGAAAGATGGGGAGAGTTGCATGCGATAGCAAAGGATAGAACGCATTGGCGTGAGTTGGGAGAGGGCCTATGCTCCATTTTGGGCTAGAAAAGCAGAAGAAGAAGTATTATGCTGGCTTTCAGAGACATAATCATCATCAAGTGTCTTGCCAACAAGCATGGGTGATCATGTCTTTCCGCAGCATGTGATTTGGAACAGCGTATGTTAATTATAATTAGTTTGTGTGTTGACATCCTTTTACATCACAACAAAATTCTGTCGAGCTATCTAGCTGTCTGTCTGTAAGCCGTCCGACCAAGGTCTGTCTGTCTGCCTGTCTGTCTAGCTGTCTGTATGCCGTCCGACCAAGGTATGTCTGTCTGTCTTTATGCCGTCTGACCACCATCTGTCTGTCTGTATGCCGTCCGACCACGGTCTTTCTGTCTGTGTGCCGTCCGACCACGGTCTGTCTTTGTCTGTTTCTCCGTTGACATCTCTCTCTCTCTCTCTCTCTCTCTCTCTCTGCCTCTCTCTCTCTCTCTCTCTCTCTCTCTCTCTCTCTTGTTCTCTATCTCTGTGTGTATGTCTGTCTCTGTGTATGTCTTTTTGTCTGTCCCCTATCTAATGACATGCCCATATGTCCATCTAGCTGTTTACACAGCTGTTGGTCTATGCGTCTGTCTCTCTATATGAGACCTGCATATGTTTCTATTATTTCGCCTGTCTATGTGTCTATGGGAAGGCATAAGGGGGGCCACAACAGCGTAGTGGCTAGATTCCTGCCTATTGACCCGATATCTTGAGATCAAATCGAAATCGAGCAGGAATTCCCCCTCTCTAAAATCAATCATGGTACTACGTCAAAAACACTCAAATAGGCACCAGAGAATATTCTGGTAGGTAAAGGCATCCAGCCTAATGTTGATCACTCAGTTTAAAAAAAAAAAAACACCCAGGTTTGGTTTAGTTAGGTTTATACAACGGATCAGCACAATAACACATGGGTGTAACCAATAAGTGCTTCGTTCTACTTCAAACTCAGCGCAGTATCAACGCAGTGCACGAACTTCCTTTGCACCGGCTAGGATCCTGAAATACTGTGGGTAGATTTTAAGCCCCAAATTTTGCCCGGGCAGCGCCGTTAGGCTGCTCTTTATCGATTTCCAAACATCAAGATATTTAAATGTGCGCAGCAATACACACCGGCGTGATCTTACTAACCACAGACTAGGGGGAATTACTAGAAGTCCAGGGTAAAAAATCGCAGCCTTCACCGGGGTTTGAACCTGGGACTACCAGCACTCAAAGCTAATGTCCTACCTCGAGACTACTAACCCCCCCCCCCCCCCCCCAACTCCCTCCTGGAGGGAGGGGAGTAGAAGGGAATAATGTGCAATAGCCATCACTAAGAATTTTAAACAATGTAGATATTCCATCTAATATGTAATCTAGCTCCGGGTCTTGCTATAGGACGGAAGATATTACATTGTCACTAGCTCAGTGCCTTTGTATAAAAAGGAAGATATTCCATAAAATCTAGTTTAGGGCCTCGAAAAAGGATGACAGATTTTCAATGTTACTAGCTCAGGACCTTGGTAAAAAAAAAAGGAAGATATTCCATGTAATCTAGCTCGGGGCCTTGCTTTGACAAGATATTCCATATAATGTAGCTCAAGGCCTTGCTAAAAAAAAGATATTCCATATAATCTAGCTCAGGGCCCTGGCGTAAGAAGGAAGATTTTCTATGTAATCTCAGGGCCTTGGAATAAGAAAAAGGATATTCCATTTAATTTAGCTCAGGGCCTTGGAATAAGAAAAAAGAAATTCCACGTTATCTAGCTCAGGGCCTTGGAATAAGGGAAAAAAAAAGATATTTCAAGTTTTCTAGCTCAGGGCCTTGGAATAAGAGGAAAAAAAGATATTCCATATTATCTAGCTCAGGGCCTTGGAATAAGAGGAAAAAAAGATATTCCATATTATCTAGCTCAGGGCCTTGGAATAAGAAAACAGATATTTCATGTAATCTAGCTCAGGCTCAGGGCCTTGGAATCAGAAAAAAAAGCTCGTCCCATATAATCTGGCTCTGGGCCTTGGAATAAGAATAAAGAGATCCCGTTTAATCTAGCTCAGAGCCTTGCTATAAGAAGGGGATAAATTTATAAGTGTGTGAATGTTTTTTTTTTTTTTAATGCGAGGGCACAAAGAGTAATCTGAATATCTTAGTTTCAGCTTCGTAGCAGACGGGGATCACCCCATAGTTGCTCCGCTCCTGCGCCAAGGAAAAACATAATGTTTATCACCGTCCCTTGCCGAAAAATAATACAGACTAAAGTCTTCCCATACTCAGCATATCCACTAGCAGGCGCAGGTATTAAAGGCATACGGCAGCTATCAGAGGTGCCAACACAAACAGTCCGACATTAGAAAGACACCAATTGTATGCATTACAAAAGCATAAGGCAGACATCAGAGGGTCTAACACACACAGTCCGAAATTAGAAAGAAACCAGTTATATGCATTACAAAAGCATGAGGCAGTCACCAAAGGTGCCAACACAAACAGTCCAACGTTAGAAAGACACCAATTGTATGCATTATAGAAGCATAAGGCAGGATCAGACTGTCCAACACATACAGTCCAACATTAGAAAGAGACCAATTGCA